AAAGAGGTTGAGGGATGTCTCAGCTGAACAAATTTTTAAAAATTTGTTCAGCTGAGACAGAAGTGGGTTTTCCTTCCTGGATGAAAAAAAAAAAGTAAATGAATATAAATGAATGAATAAATGGGCAGACAGTGGGACCATTCTCTCGCAACTGCGATTCAAAGCGAATTCCTTAAGCGGAGATTCAAATCAAGCTCCGTCCTCTTCAAATGCGTGGAGGAGGTGAAATGGAGGAAGGATAGGAGGTGAAATGGAGGAAGGATAGGAGGTGAAATGGAGGAACATGCTTCCGAGGGGAGTCATCCTCCGTCCGTGGGGAGGCGCCCTGCGTCCATGGGGAGGCATTAGAACGGAGCTTCGGGATTTTGCCGGGTCTCCATCGATTCACGGCAATCTGTCCATGTCAGTTAGGACGAAGTTGGGGATGGCATGCGGCAGAGCGTCAGGAAATGGCTTCTTTCCGGGACCGGGAGAGATCCCACTTCCCAGCGAAACGCTGTCACCGAGGTCCACACAAATGTTTCATTTCTTGACGGATGAGAATCCGTGACGTGGTCGTTACTGTCACTGAGTTACGGTCGTTACTGAGGGCACTGTCGGAGGAGCTTCGCTTCCATGAGGAATCGAGCGGAAAAGTTCCTACTGCGATTTAAGAATCTTGCCTGCCAGATTATTCACTTCCTTGATGTGAATTTCGTTGGATGCAGCCATGCCGGCGATGACGGCCACCTGCGCTTTCTGGGCCTCGACCTCGTAGCCGATGTCGATGGCCATGGCGCGCATGTTTCCGATTATTTGAGCGATCCGTTGCACGTTTGCCTCCATCTCGTCCTCCCTTGCGTCGTCCGTCAGCCTGGGGATGCAGTCCGAGGCGACTTCGAGTGGCGCGAGCCTCTTTGGCTGTCGCCCGACCACCTTCCCGTTCCCGCCCCTATTCCACACCGCGACCTCCTCGAATCGCGATGCCCTCCGGCACGGTAGTGTGCAGAGGCAGCAGCACCGCCGCATCTTAGCCAGGTTCCCGCTCGCCTCCCTCACCTCCACACGGATCTGCATCATCGCCTGCTCCACTCCATCCAGCTGGTCCCCCTGCCTTTGTAGTGCGACCTGTGTCTTGGCCCCCGCGTCCCAGCTCTCCTCGCACATCGCCACCGACCGCCTCGTGCTCTCCAGCGACTCAATGGTCACCCGATCGGCCTGCAGTTGCAGATGGGACCTCGTTTCCCCATCGGACGGATCCATAGCCATTTCCTTTTCTCAACTGGAGTCAAAGGGACAGTCTGACATTTCCCCGTCACAGTCTACTATTTGATATTTCCCACATGGTTCTTACCCTGTTCCCACTCTCCCTTCTATCTTTCGATCGGCGTCCAGAGTTCTTCTGCTCAAGCCTGCGTTGACACGGGCTGGAAAAAAATCAATATTGAATTAATATAAGGATTCGTTTGGAGGAGAAAATTATTTTGTTGAATTTTCCGCTGGAAATTCCGGAAGCCAAAATACTTTTCAATTTTCTGAATTGAGGGAAAGATGCTTTAATGAGTATTTCATGTTGGCGTTCATTATCCTCATATGGGTTTTACTATCGAAGTATAAGTAAACAGATTCTTGAAGCGACTTACTAAAACTAGTTTTTGCGTGCTCTTTGTTGCATTACATTTTGCTTTAAAATTTCGCATATGAAGTGTAATGGGAATATTTTATAGAAACTTGGATGTGAGAATAATTAGAGAACTCATTGCATCCAGAAATGGAATGCGGAACATCACTTCGAATGCTAAGGCAGAAACCAAGATTGGGCAAGCACTTTTGACTGCGAGTCGTCATGGTCAAATACGAATTTGAGGTTGAAGCTGCCTGAGGAGATCGTTTCGTTGTATATTATTGCGAGTGCTTATTTTTATATAACTTGCATTTATTGTATTTTATTCATAGCTTCTCTAGAGCTCAAGAGAATATTTCAGGAATTTCCTCCCTCTATTCGGCATGCTTTACTTCGGGGTAAGAATGTGCTTCAATTTAAAGCTGGAATTGTCTGGCCAATCTTGATTAAGCTATAACGATGACACTGGCACACTCACACATCTACGCATGCGTGCGTGCACGCCCAAACGCCCTTTCTTAAAGCATACGAAGAAAGACTTCCTATGCGTTGAGATGTGAACGCCGCATCTAACGGACACCACAAAGCGGTGGCTTCTCGAAGTCCATCTCCAGCTTTGGTCATCGGAATTCCCAGGAGGAGATAAATCCTCAACAAAAGTTGGGGATCCGTATCAGTTGCAGGTTTTTGTCAGCTCCGTCTTCATGAGAATCACTCAACAGGCATAAACGAATCAGTCTTTCATTGGGGACTCTGTACCCGAAGTACTGGAGAGTACTAGGCAATACTGAACTGTACTTCTTACTGGAATACACTGGACTTCAGGGATGAAAGGCAGGGATGAACTCATCCACATCCATTCTTGAGTGGAATCGATCATTTACTCAATGACGGCCCCATTCTCATTACTAACAGACTGACAAGAATATCTATATCCCATAATCCGAGGAATGGAATGGCATCTGAATGGAGTGCTTAAGAGCACTCTGTCACACGATCGTATTATGAGGGCATTGTAGGAATGCTGCTAAGTGCATAGCGATTCATTGACAGTAGGGTATTATTAGTATGTTTGCATTTTTTTTTTTTCATCGAGGATAGGTAGCCCATTCGAGCAGTTCATTTCTGAAGAGGCGATATGGAAAGCTTGACGAGAATCGAAGCCGTTACAGGTGCTGTCACCGTCTCCGTTGTTGTTGTCTGTGCGGTCGTCTTCACGCCGGAGTGGATTCCTTGCTTGGGTTTCTATGCGGTCGTTTGGATCGGTTTGCATCTGAGGCGTGCTCGGCGAAGTTCGCTATTCCTTGAATCCTATAAATTTCCCCTGTTGGTGCAATTGGGTCATGATTTGTGTTTCACATGTCCTTGGAACGGCTGTCACTCGTACCTCGGTTGTTCCATCGTTCCTTTGCGTTTGCCTCTCATGAGCTCCTTAAGTTAATCAGGTGAAACTCAGATCCAAAATCCCACATGAAGACCCTTTGAAACTGAGGTTAAACTCAGGGCTTTCACATATTTAACACGAGATCCAAAATTCCCTCTATTGGCAAGGGATGGTAAGCCTTGAGCTGCCAAACCAAAAATATTCGAGAAAAAAAACACTTACAGTTGCCGAGTTCCAGCGTCGATTTTCCAGTAAGGAATTTCTCACAGCACCAATCACGGAAGTGAAGAGCACTTCAGCGGGTCGACCAACCTGAATTTAGATTAAAGTATCCGATTAAATCATCAGAATAATAAGATTACGTCCATCTTGAGTCAGCCAGAAACATAAAAATGAGAGACTCCTCACGCGATCCTCCTCCCGCCCGCGTTGCTGCCTCCCCTTGCGACGGCCTGGGCCAACGAATGGGGAAGGCGCGGGAGAACCTCCACCTTTGAGTATTGATGCTGAGAATGGCCGATCTCTCGCCCACGCTTCTTCAGTCGCCTAGCAACGGGGAATTCCCACCTTGATCGCCGACGCGTCTGAGCAATCGTCTGATGCCTCCGCTGAGGTCGCTTGCTTTCGCGGCGAACTCGATTCAGATGACATATACTCATGTTATACCATGCCCATGTCAAGTGCCTTCTCGTTGCATTTTCATAACATGCCGCTTCAGAAGCACTTGAGCATGTAATTAATTGTAATTAATTGTAATTAATATTAATTAATATTTCATCTTAAAAGCTTTTTTTTAGTGAGATTTATTATGGCTGGATTCAATTTGACCCCACGATATCAGTTACGCAATGAAAAAAAAACAAGGATACCAGTTGATGATTAAGAAGAGCCCCAAATGTTCCTCTCAGTTTTTCTTTTTCATTTGTGAAATCCGGCCTCCCGCCCCAAAAAGTTGGCAGTAGCATATGTGAATTCCTTATGCCAAATAATATTAATTGCAAAAAGTTGTAACATATGCAAATGCACCTGAAGCCGCATGGTGTGAAAATGCAACCAGAAGGCATTCCCCATTAACGTGGGTATGGTATGCCCTGCGTAAGTTATATTATTACCACATTTGACCGAGAAAACCCATAGGAATTCTTCACAAAAAGCAAACCGGTTGTCGACTGAGTCGAGTTTTCTTCAGACTTAGCGGGAATTCTCGCTTGTATGACTTCAAGGAGATTCCTTTCCTTATATTTTCGCGTAAGTATTTAGAGGATATTGAAAATAAATAATTCATTAAAGTTGGAAGGATATTTTGAGGAAAATGTAATAAGAAGGAAACGTCGAAACTTGGGAAGAGAATTAATCTCGATTATCCTTAATTTAACATTCATGCAAGTCTAATACCTATCCGTGAGATTAGAATGGTTTTAAAGTTTCGGCTCGAACCGGGAGAGCGACCTGACTCTCCTTCAAGAGTCAGGTCCTTCCTTTACGAGAGAGTCCTGTAGAAATTCTAAAGGAATGTATAGGAATCCAATAGGAACATATAGGATCTATAGGGTTCCTATTGGGAAGCATGCATTCCTATAGGGAGTTAATAAGATTCATATAGGAATCGTATAATATCCAAGAGGCTTCTCATTGGACCTATAGGCTTCCCATGAGAATGTATAGATAAACACTAGGCTTCCTATAGGATATATAAGGTTCCTATAGGAATCGCGTAAGTCCTATAGGATGCATAATTTCCAACATTGAGCCCAATAGTAATCCTATGGGAATGTATTGGTATTCAATAGGTCTTCAATGAGATCTATAGGGTTCCAAAAGGAAACTCATCAGACCCAATGAATCTTGGACATTCCCTAGGCTCTAGATCAGGGGTTCTCAAACTGGGGGGCAGGAACCCTAAGGGGGGGCGACAGGTCATGGGAGTTTTTTTTTCATGTACTACAATGTACAGTTTCAAAAACTATAAAATATTTTTATTCGTCAATCCCATGTTTTTTTATTACTGGAAATAGGTCACAGTCCTTCAGGTCTTTCTGGCTCTTTCTCCAGTACAAGATTAAATGAAGGCAGTTCAAGGGAGCGGACTTTTAAATTCGACTCTTTATTTTCAAGGGATGTACATTCCCGTCGGCGATTTCCTACGATTCGGATGAAGGTAACAAATAAAATTGAAACTCGATGGGTTCCCAGGGCAGAGGAAAATTCCCAGAATACATTTCTCTGTCAGGTCTTTTGAAAATGTGATTTGGGCCGGTATTGTTGCCGTTCAGTTCGATTATTTGTGGGCCCAGATGCATGAGCGTCTTTCTCATTAAGTTAAGCGAGTGAATCCGTTTTCCAGCTGTGACTCGGTCCTTGAAACTTTGTCCTATTGTGTCCTATTGTATCCTATTGCGTCCTATTTATTCAATCATCGCAGGAAAAAAGAATCTGTGGGTAAGCTTAATTTTTTAAGCTTAATTTCTTAAGCTTAATTGCTAGGTTCTCCTCGGGCGCGACGCCGAACCAAGGTCACTAAGGGAGTTATTATTAATAGTTACCAGTTACTAAAAATGTTGCGTACCACTTCTCCAGGGACTCAAGATTTCTCTTCGGTCATCTAAAAGACACATTTCTCACAGGACTTTCGAGGTATTCCCATGGGATCTTCACTTTGATCAACGATTAATCAGCCAAGTTGTGCAGTAACGTGTTGCAGTAAGGACGAGAGACGCTTACGCGTTACTATTCCCGAACGTAACGATAGGCAAGGAGTTGTCCTTTTGATTGAAGAGGAGACAATTAAAGATGTGGGACTCAAACTCCCCAAAACAGTGAAAGTTGTACATTACTGGATTGATAAAATAAAACTTCTGGTTCCTGATGAACCAGGATGAGAGGATGAATTGATTCTTCCTCATAGTCAATCTGGTCGATAAACTATAGTCAATTTTCATCTAATTATTTCATTTGAAAAGCACATCTGTTAGAGGAGAGGGGGGATACAAAAATGAGAAAATTATGGGAGTAAAAGGCAACAAACGAACAAGCAGCGTTGTATTTTGAAGCTTCCCAGCGTTGTGGTGGCATTGCGACTGACATTAATTCAATATTTAAATTTCGCTCGTCTCAGTACTCAGATGAACGTTGAAATTCAACACTGGCTGAACGCTGAGCCAACATTGTTATGTCACTTATTGAAATGCTCGCTCCCCACCTCTGTAGATATTGGCCAATATTGCCAATAACGGGTAAATATCGGCTTCCCAAAGTTGCCAT